ATAACATAACGACACCATATTGTACATAAATCACTTGTGTCAATTGGAATTCGTGGACTATCAGAATCAATTCGATGTATTATATTTAATATATTTTCTTTTCCTGTCCATGATTGATCAGCTAATGCTATTAAATCAACTTGTCGTAAATGCCAACGTATTAAATTACGTTTTATTCGTTGATTATTTTCATCATAATTTGTTTTTTGACAACGTTTTATATATACACGAGAATTAGCTTCCATTAATGCTTTTTTTAATTCATTTGTATTATTTAGCGGTTGAGACATTTTTTCATGTTCATCAATACGACGTTGTAATTCATCTTCACGCATTTCACGTTCATGATGTTCATCACCCATTAACTAGGAAAACAAAACAAGCGATAGAAGAATTAAATATTATCTCCGGGTTCTTTTTTTTCTTATTTACACAATAATTTTGAAATAATTTAACTTCAAATAAATCATCAATTATAGTTAATTCAAATTCCTTGAGAAAAAAGAAAAAATCAAATAAATCAATTTAATATAAAATAAATAAACAAACATTTATTTTTATTGATAAATCTGTCCAAACTTCATTTGGTATAGTATGTTTTGGAACTTGACTTAAAAAGGTTGATGACATATCACCATTAGTTTTATGAAGACGTTTTATCCATTTACGAATATTAATAAACTTAAGAAAGAAAAAAAATAAAATTTTGTTGAACTTTTTTTGTTTTTTAAATAAACCTTTTCTATAACTTCATTAAATGTTGAATCAAAAGGAAAATGAATAGAAAATGAATTAATTTGTAATAAACTAGCTCGATTATGAAGCATATCAAGTGTACCAATTGTTTTTTGTGATAAAATTCGTTCGGTTGTTAAAGTTTCTGATTGAATAAGACGTGTAAATGATATATCCTATTTAAATAATATTTATATAACTAGAATTATTTTTCAGAATGAAAATTTACATGTACAACAAAAAGACATTGTTGTTGCCAATCGACTGTTAATTGTGAACATTTTAATTGCATTTGTGTTTCATTATCAATTAAACTATTACGTACAAATCGAGATGAAAATTGATGAAGTTCTAATAGAATCCTAAAGATTTAATATTAATAGAATAGAATGATATTTGATAAATAAGAAAAATATTGAGTTTTTAAAGAATATCTTTTGTTTTGTAGTGGAGTTAAAAAAATTTTGAATTATAAATAAGAACATATTGTGTTATGAATCTGTCTAGAGTCTTTTTGTTTTTCACAGCAATTGAGAACAAATACCTCAACAGTGGTTTCAGAAGAATCACTAATAAAATAACTTTATAAGTAGAATATTAGTCTGGTCTGATCTACCGAATGTCCTCCACTTCTTTGGAAAGGGTTGTTTTGATTGATTTAGTGGCCGTGTTTATAACTTTGATTCCATTGTTAAGTGGACAAAAGCAACATCTATCCTATGTTGTTCGAATAATAGAAAAAAAAAAGGAAGTAGTGTATCGATAGGTATTAATGTCAAGTGACTATATGTGTTTTGAACATGTATTGTTAAATAAACAGCTACTTTGCTTTGAGCTATTTCATAGTTTTTAAAGATATTTCAGTCATAATACATACAATTTTATCTTTTCTTGAGTTGAAGTGTTTAATTGATATGTACATTTACTTTCTTCTTGATTCCCTTTCAGCTATTCAATAGTAAATGCATGGTCAATTGTACGTCTTAGTATTTGTAATTCATCAAGATCTCGTGAAGATTTTGCAACTTATCTAACGTACTATTGAATAATATCATACAGAAATTCCGAAAGATTCTTATTAACTGTACATAGAGAACATTTTGGTGTCGAAAAGTTTCATTTCTTTTTTTTAGCTTTTTAAAATTATCTATTTGATAGCACGATATTTTAAAAATAAAACGATGAAATAAAGCGTTATTTTTAGTTCTAAAAATGATCATGCCAATGATCAAACAGTGAGTAAATGGTTAAAATCGAGTGAATACTCACGAATTTTCAAATTTCAAAAGAGAAAATTATAATCTAGGTTACAACTTCACACAAAAGTAATTATTATTAGTTCTGAAAGAATAATTTTATCAGTGTTAACTAAAAGGACATGATAATAGATATTTTTTTGAAATGTGTGCATTTGCATTCAAGTGATCGGAAAAGTTAGAAGAGTCTGTCGAGTTTTTGAATACACTCTATTTTTCAGGGCATCACTTGTTAATCAGAAATATGAATAACTGTCAATGATTTTCTAGCTTTCTTAAGACTCGTATCAAGAGTAGAGATCTGCATAACTGGAACTACGAAAAAACTTGTTGTTCGAATCGAAGTGAAAACTGTAGTTACAGTTATTATGACTTTGTTTTAGCGAAATATGTTATAAATCATATCAATTAAAACGAAGTTTTGAAGAGATGATCAAAGAAAGTATCATTCATCGACTGAGTTAATCAAAATGTGAGTATATCAGACTTTTTTAGATTTAATGTGAATAAATTCTGAAATAATTTTGTCTAAGCCGAAACTAAGATCAGAAAAACACTTGTTCTAACAATCATTAATCCATAAACTGTATACATTTATATAAACTAAAATAATTCCTATCACTCTTTAACCTTTCTATAAAAAGAAATATTATAAAAACTATATCGAATGACTTAAGGGTACCCCCCCCCCCTCTTTTTTGATCAAAAACTCAATTTTGAGTTGGGCATAAGGTATGATAGCCTCAAGTGTTATGTGCAATTAGAGACACCATTCGACTCTAAACACCTTACTATTACAGAGTTACTGAATTAAAGAAATTTTTTTTTTTTCATAGTAATCATGAAAAATTTTTTTTCTTTACTTAGCGTAACGCAAAATTACAATTCACTCAATCGTGCCTGCGTACGACCCCCCTCTAACTTTGTCCGATCGGGCTGAAATCTTTATCATAGATACTTTGAAGTATTCTCCAGAGGTAATTTTGACCGTTTTAATTTCTGATGCTTCCATCCGGATTTATAGGGTTCGCAAGGTCAAAAACCTGGTTCTGGCAAAAAACCTTTACGTATTTTTTTTATAAAAAAAAAAAGAAAGTGAGATTTTTGAAAACGCTCAAAACTACCTCTGAGATATAGTCGTAGCT